GAAAAAATAATCGGCCGATTCATCGATTTTTTAAATAATCGTTAGTTGCAGCCCTAGTTATACCATACAGTGTGTTCAATATTTAGCTTAATAAGTCAAAAGAATCAAAAGTATGGTTTTCATTTTTTTATTAAAATTATGAAAAACTTTTATAATTTTCCTTGTATTAGTTTTTTTCCCCATTTACACTTATATACACTCATTGGTGTTGATATAATGCACTTAATGTTTGGCTGTATTTTGAAAACTTTTTTATGTTTTCAGGGTATTTTAAATCTTAAAACAATGACTGATAAAAGAAAGTATTTGACAAATGTGTACATGTAAATAATGCAAACATTTCCATTTAAACAACTTCATTTTGAGGTAAATTGATTTCTTCTTGGTTTTAATGTATGTAAATTTCCTAGAAACTGATGGCTAGATACTAGATACCAGTATCCTAGATACTGGGTCTGTAATATACTCAATAAATGTTGCCCAGTTCTGTGAGCAACATAAGACTGAAATTTATTCCTTGGCATATTGTTTCTTGTGTGTTGTCGTAAAATGTTCTGAGGTGTTTCTAGCTGTTCTGCTTTGCTGTGTCCATAGCTGCCTTTGATAGATGTGCAGAATGTCTCTTTGAGCTCATACCTTAAAAAAATAAATTTCTTCTTAAACAAATGTTTATGTGTTATGTCATGATTAGAGTTATGGAGACTGCAGCTGATATTCTTTTAGGCTTATTGCATTTTACAGTGCAGAACATGTTTTTTTTATTTTTTTATTTTGGCTGCTAACCTCCAGGATCACAGAGGAAATGATTCCATACTTTTGTTTTACTCTAAGTTTTTCTTAGATTTTTGTATTTTACCCTTCTGGCTATCTGTTATTCTCACACTCCTCTGAGAAGGTTTTTTTTTTTTCAATTTTTAACTCAATAACATCCAACTACCATAGTTGAAGTAATTGTAATTGATATAAGCCTCACAGAACCTATCCTAAAAAATAAACTTTTTAAGTTCAGTTTAAACTGGAAGAATATTTTACTTTTATTTTAATAGCCTTACTTGCTAAACATCTTATGAAAACATTGTTGTAAAACCATACATGAATCTACACTGGTAAGTTTCATGAAAAACAACGTTTGCTCACTTTTGTGTTTGCTTTGGAACAGCTGAGAGAGGTGGATTTGTCACATATCATCAGTTAAATCACCCCTGTTCCTTCCTTTGAGGAATACTTTCCTTTGTCCAATGGTACAATGTGCAGAAACTGATTAAAAACATTTCTGTGGTAAGATTTTTTCATTGCTTTTTTTCTATTTTCTGATTTCGTACATATATACAGCTTTAGCGATGTACCTGAGCCAACTGCCATGTCAGAGGATGAAGAGAGCACATTCAGCCAGTCACAATCAGGGAAACAGGACACTAGAAAAACAGGCCGATCCCCAACATCTATAAACAAAGGTGTTTATGGCAGCAGCACAGCTGATATTTCTCTCCAGGGTGGTGTTACAGCCAAACAGGATAGGCGATGTACCTTACATATCTCTCAACCTTTTTTGCTTTAATATCACAACAGCAACAATGGAGAGACGGATATATGTTTTTTTTCTATAGGGTTGGATTTAAATTATTTTACAAACTGTAAATTGGCAGATCATGAAGAAATCAAACTCACAAAACTGAACGAATGCTTTCTTTTAACCATGACTTTAATTCTTAGTGATGTAGACACATTCGATTGTTTTTCGTCTTAATTATTGTTTGTTTATGTTATATCCAAAAAATGTAGCTTAAATGTTTCCATAAAGCGTCTGCAATTCTCTCTAAAAATGGTGGCCCATGAAGAAATTAAAGGCAAATATTAAAACAAAGAACTCCTCAACACATACTTTCTGAAATGTAAACAAAACACAATGTAAGAAAAGCGATTATGGCTTTATTGATGTTACAGTGGATAAATGTACTCGTTACATCAGCTCAAATAGTCAGAAGAAAAAAGTGCCAAAAGAAGAAAAAAAGGTACATGGGATAAATACAGTATATACAGTGCGTCCACATATGACAGTGTTTATAGAGATGTAATAGAGGGAGAGCAGAGAGGACGCTGGCGTTGGCTGTTCGCCGCTTCTCTGCAAATCCGTCTGCAAATCCGTCAAAATCTGTCCTCTGCAAAATCCTTCCTACTGTACCGTATTCTGGGAACTCAGTTACTACAGTAAGAAACTGATTATTTTGTAGTACACACCGAATTTGTGTGGTACCCTGCACTTACCTGTCACTACGCTGGACACTGCTTGCTAAGTGAATTGTCCTTTTCTCTGGGCTTCAAATCCCCCAATCCTGCTGCTTCCTTTTTGTTTCCATCAAACTGGATTATTCCTACGGAGATGTCTAAGTGCTTCATGCCCTCCCTGGATTATCTCTGCACGTCGGCCTGTTAGCCCGTTGGCAACTTGTTTGGGTTGGCTACGCTAACAGAGTTAGCCAGAGCTACTCTTCTATTTACAGAGTCCTATCAGCACCATCAGTCTTCATAAATCTT